CCCCCCGAGCGCTGCTTTACCACGTTATATCCAAATTTGTGTTATATCGGGTCGCGTTATATCGGGGTCGAGGTGTACCTTGAAATGCACACATTTTAGTCTCTATAATCACATGTATGGTATTCTGAGTTGGCTGTGTTTACACATATGCATACCCAGTTGTTTATATCATAATTTAAAATTACCTTTGCAGAGCTGATTCATTGTTTCCACCTGTGAGGAAATCCTTGTTTGTACTGCTTTGCAGACACACAGTGTGCTGAACTAGTTTGTCTCTGCTGAAATGGTGTGGATTAGTTATTTCTGATTTTATTTCATTTACCCCATTTAGTAAATGTCACAGCAGTGTACTCTCATGTGGCAGAGTCCAGAATTTCTGTCACAGAACAAAATATGGGGATAGAAGACTTTCATACTTAGTTAAAAGCAGTTTTTCTTTGTTCAATTTAAATGGACATGACAATTAACTTGACCTACTTTTTAGCATTTAATACAAAATGGGCCAGAGCCTCAGCTGGGCCAGTGTTCCACTCAGTGCAGCTGAGGGGAGGGGGAGGCAAGAGTAGCTTTAAGCCTCGTTTGCACTACCCTGATTCCCAAGGCTGGTGGGGACTGGATCCCCAGTGTAACTTAGAGCAGCTCCCAAACTGCTCTACACATAAACATGCACCAATTTAACCAAAATTGTAATTTTTAAACCAAAAGAGTTGAAGTGGTACAGCTGTGTGTTTGGACATTCCTATCCAGAACTATCCATTGTAGGGTTTCTAATCTATCAAGCTAAAATGATGTAAGGCAGGTTTAAACGATGTAAGTGTATCCACACATGGGGTTTGCATCACTGTAACTGATTTAAATTAAATCAATTCAACTTAAATTCAAGCCCTAAATTTTGCTAGCTGGTAAAGTCCCCTAAGGTCCTTTACACTGGGCAGAGATCACTGGAGTGCAACATGCTCTGGTCATACTCCTCCCATCGCTGACACACCCCTTGCACTGAGGGGTCTAGGAGGTGGTAGCACAGAGATGACTGCTGACCCTGATTCCCTTGCCCTAGGGTAGCACTCAGTTGCCCCATAAGGGCAGCTTTCTGGCCCCTTTGTTCCTCCAAAGTCATGCAAAGGAGCTGGAACAGGGACCAGAACCTAACCCAATATTTTAATAGATCAGGGTAATTTTAATCTAAACTTCAGGACAACTCCTAATGATTCCCTGAAGTATAACATCATAACCCATTATTAGTTGAGCCTCTTGAAGTTATTTCCTTCCTATATTTCCTTCCAGATGTCAGACTGGATTTTTTTTTCTGCTGAAAGCACTATTTTTAAAACCAAAGAATTGAATGACATTAAGATAGTAGGTGTTGTACTGTACAGCATGTTATATAATGGGGTATTTATAACAGATCTTATACAGCCAGTTTATAACCAGGAGTAATAGTACCATTTTGCTATTCAATCTGCTTAGGGATGCTGCAATAAATTCAGAGCAGACATTGATTTGCTGCGGCTGGTGTATGATGGGAAAGTTTTGTGCATTTTTACTTTTATAGTTTTCATAACTCTTTTATCCATTCCTCTGAAGAGAAGTAGTAATAATATGAGAATAGGATTGCGTGATAATGAACCCATATTTGCCTATCTATGCAGATCTCCAGTCATCTCCTAGATGCCATCTTAAGTCCAGGAACTCTTTCTGGTCAGCAGCCTGTCATCAAAAGACAAGTGGTGGATTCTGTGGAAAAACAGAGGGGTCAAGAATCAGGACCTGATTATAGATCCTACAATCCAACCAGCTGACTTTCCCACATTATGTAAGATAAGAATCACAGCAAATTGCATCAGAATCTCACATAGGCATTGCAGTTACCTACTCACAATGGCAAATGAAGGACAGCCTGCTATGTGAATGTGGAGAAGACATCCAAACCATGGAACATCTAGTGAACTGCTGCCCTCTAAAATCCTTCTCCAGGGAGCCAGCCTTGATTCATTCCATGTCACCAAAAGCCATAGAGGAGATAACAAACTTGGACATTGACTTTTAATGTTGCTTTTCAAGTTGCCATACAAAAAAGAAGGAAAAAACTCTAATATTATGAGCCTTGCCAACCCCAAACATTCAAATATCATGAGTCAAGCTCAAAAAGTCATGGGATTTTACAAAAATAATTAATTTTGAGTTCTTTTTATTTGCTTTCCAGTATTTGAGCCTTTAGGGTGCACACCAGTCAGATTTTCAAGCTTCTCTTTGCCACCTTAAGGGCTAAAAACTTATACTTTTTTTTTAAAGTTGATATTCTCATGTAATCACATGATTCCCAGAGAGCCAGGGCTTTAAGAAAAACACCAAATATCATGAGACTTGTGAAGAAATTGCGAGAGTTGGAAACACTGGCAAACAGTACATCATGGGCCAATGTAGTGCAGCACAATTGGGTATAAACAACACTAAAACAAACTAATACAAAACACACACAGTAATGTGTTTAAAGAGCATTACAGCTGCGATACAAATGGGCAGAATCCAAGAAATTCCAAGTTAAAGTAGATGCTCCCTCCTTAACTAACACCACTGTGAAGAAGTAAAACCAACAGTGAATGAAGATTTGAGTCGAATCTGAACTAAAATCGAGGGCACAGGGGATAAATGAGGACCTTCCAGACTCCTGATTTCCCACACCAGACCTAGTGGACTTCTGTTGCATATTGAGAGCACGAGCAACAGCTAGAAGGAGTCTTCACAGCCTCCTGACCTTCACATGCAACCTGGTATGAGACATTGACTCTGGGGTTTTTTTAATCTATTCCTTTATTGCCATTGGTTATTGGTCCTGCTATACCCTGCTCTTCTCTTAACATGGCAACCTTTCAGTTCCTCCACCTCACACCCTCCATCTATGCATGTTTCTCTTTCTTTGTCTCTCACATCCTCTTGCTCCTTTTTACCTCCCTCTCCCTCTGTTTTCCTCTCTCTTTGCTCACTCCCCTCTGTTAGTCCCACAATCTCTTACTCTCCTTCATTTCCACACCAGTGAGCCCCCTAACCTCTTAAACCCAGTTTAAAACAAATAGTGAAATTAATTAAAGCTAGGACTAACAAATATATAGAAATGGATGTGCGTATGTGTATACACACACACACGTGATTGCCATCAGCATGAACACTTTGCTTGGGTACTATATCCAAGCAATTCCCCCTGCCCTTCATTTCCTTCTGTGTGTTTTTAGATTATATTTGGGGCAGGGACTGTATCTTCCTATATGTTCATACAATGTTTAACACATTTTGAACAGTACTGCAATATAAACACTAAATAATAATTATACACAAAGCATGCATAACCAGGGATCTAGAAGTATTTGCTATTGTGCCACTAAAATGGATTTATAATAATCTTCCACTTTCATCCAAGGATCTCAAATCACTTTACAACTATGGGCAAGTATTATTATCCTCAATTTAGCGATGAAGAAACTGAGTCTCAGAGAGGCAAAGTGACTTGCCTAAAGTCATACAGTGTGAAAGTAGCAGAATGGGGAAGAGAACCAATATCTCCAGACTTGTAGTCCTCCACTCTAATGACTCAAGCTTACTCTTCTACAGTTGTCTTTAGAATACTTTTCAGCACTGATAGTAATGTGAACCTACACGGGATTTCAGAGCAGACTGGAACCCAGAATGTGAACATTGGACCCTGTTCTGTGAATTCATGCAACCCCAATGGAGTCAGTGGATTACATGGATGTAAATGAGAGCAGGATCTAGAATGTAGCTATTTATATTTCTAGTTATTTTGAAAATAATACTCTGTGCCAGCAAATCTCAACAGGCTGTACAATTCTGGAAGGAATCATACACTCCCCACGTCGTTTGATGCAGGAAGGGAAGCATTGCAGCCA